TTCATTTTCTTCTTGTTAGGAGTTGCCCACTTTGTGCTTCAGTGTCAATGAGATTGATGATGAGGCTTCCTTGTGTTGAGCTGGCAGCTTGGACATGGCTTGTCTGTAAGGTGAAAGTCTGCTGAGTCAGAGGAATTTCCCATGAAGATCTTGTGGTGGCAGCCAGGCGGAATCACTATAATTAAGGACTTCAGGTCCATTTGCAATTTACAAATCTGCTTCATTCCCCCCCGCCCCGTGCAACTGTCATTGCCACTTCCCACTGAAATTCGGCTGGCACCCTTGCTGGGTGTGTTCAAAAACCAACTAAAAACTTGGTTATTCAGACAGGCCTTCCCCCCAGTCACCTAAGTTCTTTTCTTTCCTTTTTTCTGGTTCTTAATTTTGCCATCTTGGATAGTATTAATTATAATAATTGCACTATGCTAGTTATTTTTTTTACATTTTTAATGTGTTTTAATTTTTGTAAGCCGCCCCGAGTAGACGTTGTCTAGAGGGGTGGGGTAAAAATTGAATCAATCAATCAATCAATCAATCAATCATCTTCTGAAAAATGAAGTATTTGAGTCTGGCACTCCTATATCTTCTTGTCTGGGTGGAGAAGCCTGAACAAATTTAATACGCAGCAGTTATGTGTGCCTCTCCCAGACAAAATAGTCTCCCCTTGACATTCCACACAGTATTTGCAAAAAAAAAAAAAAAAAAAAAAAAAAAAAAAAAATCGAGAAGCCATAAACCGTGAGGATACTCAATTAACCACCAATATTTAAAAACAAACTAGCATTTTGATATAATGACCACCACCTCTACAAAGAAGAGAAAAAATACATGTATTTACAAGCAACAATCTCCTTTAATATTTGGCATAATAATCACATGCCGTCAAATCCATTCCAACTTATGGTGACCCTTTCCAGAGTTTTCTAGGCAGAGAGGACTTAGAAAGGGTTTGCCATTCACCTCTTTAGGGGGCATCCTGGGACACTGCAGCCTGCCAAAGGCAACACAGCCTGGCTCTTCTCTCATGAGGCACAGTGAGGAATTGAATTCCCAAACTCTGGCTTTGCAACCAGATACCTAACTCACTGAGCTATCCAGCTAAGTTGAAAAACATGTTGGAGCATGCATTATAGGAAGGGAAAGGGAGCAATCATTGCAACTCTCAGTCTGGAAAGTTTCAAGTGGAGTGTCTCGGTGCAGGCACAGGCACATCCGTTATTTTGACTTAGTTCAAGATAGGAAGGTCTACAGGGGTGTTCCCATGTGCTGTAGGTTGTTTTAGTAGGCTGCAATTGAGAGGGTTTCTGGTAGGCTCTGATTCAGAGCCCAGAGGAGGAGGACTGGTGGGTCTTTTTCTGATGTTTTCAATTCTGAAACCGAAAGCAAAGAGCCTTCTCATAACACAGTTGACCATCAGTATTGAGAAGGCTTAAGACTGTGGAATCTTACAGGCCAATTTCACTGATAAACCAAGAAGCTAAAATATTTATCGTAATTTTGGCAGCAAGATTAAACAATTTAATAGGGAAATATATTAAGAAAGATCAAAATGGATTCATGCAAGGTAGGCAGATGTCAGATACAATGAGAAAGGTGCTTAATCTAATGCACCTGGCAAAAGAATCAAAATGTCAGGCAGGAGTGGTGTCCCTAGATATTTTTAAAGCCTTTGACTCGGTTGAATGGGATGCATTAAAATATTGATTAAACAGATAGGATTTGGCACCCAATTCAGACAAATAATCCAAGAACTATATTCTGAAAACATTTATAATAATGGTATTTAGTACCATTACTTATTATAATAAATAATCAATAATCCTAGGCCAAGGAATGAGACAGGGTTGCCCCTTATCTCCAATTTTATTAACATTGGTAATAGAAATGCTGACACAAGTAATCAGAAATGATAGTTCAATTAAAGGCATAGATACCAGAGAGAAGGATAAAATATATCTTTTTGCAGATGATACATTATTAATAATTAAAAACCTAAAAGATACATTGCATAAAATCAGAGCACATTTACATTTATTTGAAGAAATAACTGGTTTGAAAGTAAATTGGGAGAAATCCGAATGTATTATTCTGAAGTAGATAAGAAGGAATTGAAAAAAGAATTTAAAGGAAGAATAGAAAATGTAATCAAATACTTAGGAATTCATATCACATGGAATTTAAAAGAAATGATTAAATTAAATATGGACTCATATCACATGGAATTTAAAAGAAATGATCACATTACATATGGACAAATTGAAGAAAGAAATTAATGAACAGATAAATCAATATCAAGAGTTTAAATTGTCACGGTTTGGTAGAATAGCATTATGTAAAATGAAGATTATCCCTAAATTTTGTATTTTGGATGCTTCTAATAAAGATTGGTGAAATATATTTGAAAGACTGTTAGAAGCTGATAAATAATTACTGTAATGGAAACAAACAAACAAGGATCAATAATAGGCTATGGTATGTTCCACAAAAAGGAGGCCTCGGACTACCTACACACATACCATCTGAATAAATAAGAGGCTATGGTATGTTCCACAAAAAGGAGGGCCCGGACTACCTACACACATACCATCTGAATTGATTGACAGCAACAAACAAATTTCACCAACATACTAAAGAGAGGGAAAAGGCACTTAGAAGAGAGGTGGGGCTCTCTTTGAAATCAAGGGCTGGAAGGAATGATAGGTTAGTTCTAGATAGATAGACAGTCACCCCAATCCAGAAAAGTCCCTCCAAGTCAGATAGGATTACAAAGAAAACTCCTAAACCTTTTCCCCCAGCACAAAGATAGATTGATGCTCCCGGAATCTTCCACTTTTGGCCACTTCTAATTTCATTTCTACTTCCAATTACATAGTCTTTTTGCTTCCTATATTGTTAGTCAATATAGTTAGAGATTATGTATACCTTGATTCAATCATCAATCCAAATGAAGACTGCAGCTAAGAAGCAGGAAAAGATTGTGACTAGGAAGGGTAGCAATGAAGGAATTAGAAGAGATCATCAGATGTAAGGATGTGTCACTGGAGACCAAGATCATCCACATTTTTAAATTTCCAATCACTATATATGGGTGTGAAATTTGGACAGTAAAGAAAGCTGATAGGGGAAAAATGATTTTTGGGGGAATACAGTGCTAGAGGAGCTTTGTGGATTCTAATATATGGGTGTGAAATTTGGACAGTAAAGGAAGCTGATAGGGGAAAAATGATTTTGGGGGGAATACATTGCTAGAGGAGAGCTTTGTGGATTCTAAAAATGAACAAATATAGCCTGAAATATCTCTGGAGGCAAACATGTTGAAGCCAAGGCTGCCTTACTATGACCACATCATGAAAAGGCGGGATTCTATGGAAAAGACAATAATCCAGGGAAAGATTGAAGGCAGGAGGCAAAGAAGAAGACTAAATACGAAATGGATCAGCTCCCTAAGGGAACCCAGAAGCTTGAGTTTGCACAAGTTGGGCACAGCAGTTGAAGACCGGACCTCTTGCCGATCGGTCTCATAAGGCTGCCTTACTATGACCACATCATGAAAAGGCGGGATTCTATGGAAAAGACAATAATCCAGGGAAAGATTGAAGGCAGGAGGCAAAGAAGAAGACTAAATACGAAATGGATCAGCTCCCTAAGGGAACCCAGAAGCTTGAGTTTGCACAAGTTGGGCACAGCAGTTGAAGACCGGACCTCTTGCCGATCGGTCTCATATAGGGTCTCCATGATTTTGGGGGGGGGGGACTTGACGGAACAAAACAGCAATTTCATTTATTTTTCTGTTCGTATTTTTGTCAGCTGGGAGCAGCCCATGGAGGAGTTGCCAGGAAAGGACATTTTGCTACCAGACCTCCTGAACTATAAAGTATTATGAGCTTTGCTCTAATGAAGAAGTGAAAAGTATGAAGTAATGAGTCTCTCCAAAGGGCTGTGGGGGTTACAGATTCAAAGCCCGGCTGCTGAGATGGTGTTCCAGTTACTGATATATCATGATAGATAACTCTGAATAGAAGGCCAGAAAATGTTAATTTCAGATCTCATCTCAGTGAACTCACTTTAAGCAAACCACTAATCCTCGGAAACCTCGGAAACCATTTCCTTTTTGCAATGTGAGAATATGGCTATGGCTACTCCTCTACTTTGAATTACTGCTGCAACCATTACCAAGATATTTGGTACAACAGCAGTATTAAAATGTTAATCTTTCACCAACCAACCATTCTAACAATGTTTCTTATATAGACATAATGCTTAAAATTTCAAGAAGGGTCTAGGCATGACAGAAATGCCCTAAATAATCTAGCTAACCTGTTCCAGCACCTGCATGTGTTTCCACACGAAGGAAAACAACAAGTATCTTGTGAGCTAAATGATGCAAATACTCTGAAGAGTTGTCAACAACCTCATTTTCTCCACCAGATTCCAAGTTTTGACATGAAGCAATAAAAGATGCAATAGGACAAAAGTCCCCATCAGAGCTGTGACGGAACGATCTGAACTACACAGTCAACTTTTGATCAAATGCCTTCATTAAAGAGAAATTGTGAAAGAGCACTACCCTATCATTACATCGCTGAACTGCAGAGGCAATTTTCTGTAAAGTCAAAATGAGATTTGCACCTGTAGCACCTGGAGTGGAGTTTTGCCATTATTTGTGACATGATTATAGAGTTCCTTTAAGATGTGGCCTATGTTCAGATTAGCCCCCAAATTGGAGAATTATTCAGTCCTACGGTTTTTCTGTATTATGTGTCTAGACCTGACTTCCAAACGACCCATTTATTATTGAAAAATGGAACCAAGCACAGAGTTCTACATCATTTATGGAAGAATCGTTTTAATTACTCCATGGGGCTGCTACACTGGTTATTAGACTTGCTAATAAGCAGCAAGCTATGGACTCCCACTGGGGGACTGTCAATCAAAGCAGCAGCAATTATATAGCAATGAGAAACTCTAGCTAGAGCTACATGTACTGAATTGAGGCTTCTCGCAGAGGCTGTGTACTCCATCCAGAATGTCAGATTTGTTTCAGCCACGGAGGGCTTGAGAGGGGGGAGGGAGAGAGGGAGCAGGAAGGGATTTAATCCCATTGACGTGTATCAAGAACAGGCGGCATTTACTGGAGAAAATCTGCCTTCAGCACCATGAACAGCTCCCTGGCTCAACCGCTTCGTTATGCAGGAGGCTACGAACCCCAGGATTCCAAAGAGTGGAAGGTGGTGATCCCAGCCTTCTTGGGAGTGATCTGCCTGGCCGGTTTCGCAGGGAATGTGTGCGTAATTGGGATCCTACTCTACAATTCCAAGAAAGGGAAACCTTCCATGATCCACTCCTTGATCCTCAATCTCAGCTTGGCAGATCTGCTCCTTGTTCTCTTTGTGCTGCCCTTCCGGGCAGCTGCTTACTCCAGAGGAGTCTGGTACTTGGGCTGGTTTCTTTGCAAAACCTCTGACTGGTTCCAACATGCTTGTATGACAGCCAAGAGCTTGACCATTGCTGTGGTAGCCAAGACGTGCTTCATGTATGCAAATAACCCGGCTAAACAGGTGACTATTAAGTGGCAGACCATCTGTGCGGTGCTCTTGGCTATTTGGCTGGTGGCCTTGGGAATCCCGTTACCCTTGTGGTTCTTCAGCAGCCTCCGTGAGCCAGAGGTGGGCTCTGCTCTGTGCGTCCTGGTTATTCCAACTCAGGCTCATGAGTTTATGTCAGCTTTTGTCAAGCTCTATCCCTTGCTGGTATTTTGTGCACCATTCACTTTTGCGTTCTTTTATTTCTGGAGAGCTTACGGCAGGTGCCAGCGAAGAGGGACCAAGACACAAAACCTGAGGAACCAGATCCGCTCCAGGTGCCTGACTATGATGCTTCTGAGTGTGACTCTCACCTCTGCTGTGATGTGGCTTCCTGACTGGATATCTTGGCTGTGGCTCTGGCACCTGACCAAAGATGGGCCTGTCCCTCCACAAGGATTCATGGCGACCACCCAAGTCATGATGTTTGCCATCTCTTCGGCCAACCCTCTTATCTTTGTACTTATGTCCGAGGAGTTCAGAGAGGGTTTTAAAGGCTTGTGGAAAAGGCTTACATTGAAGAAGCTTCCATCAACCCCGGAAGATCAGGAGGAAACAGCAGCTGATGATGACAGGCAGGGAACCCCAGATACAGCTCCTTCACCAGAGGCACTGACTCCTAATCAAGAGAAAGAGCCCCCTTCTGTCCCCTGTACCTCAGAAAGCATGGAAATAAAGGAGATGCCTATTTTGCCAGATGTTGAACAGTTCTGGCATGACAGGGAAGTTGTCCCTGATGCACAAGACAATGATCCTATTCCTTGGGAACATGAAGAACAAGAGACAGTAGGTTGTGATCAGCAAAAGTAAAGTTAGAAAGCTGAAAAGGCAAGCAGGAAAAAAAATCATTAGGTTGGAATTCTGCTTTCATAATGTTTAAGAGTAGATCCATTTAAGTCAATGGGATATAGATGTGTTGTAACTTAAATCTCATTGCTTTCAATGGGTCTGTTTCACAATGTAGGGACACAGTCCATTATGATTTTCTTGCTTACTTGGAATATATGCTAAACTGGTATATAAGATATATTGCTATATTGACTATTATAGTTTTACTTTTGCATGTGTTCAGCAGCGCTGGATCTTATTGATTTCTCCAAAATTTATGTTATGTAGAAATGCAGTTATAACCACTATGCATTCAGATTTTATTCCTCATCCTATTTAAAATTCATATCCTGCACTTTCATGAGGAAAAATTCAAATTTCAGAAGTGTTAAAATGGTTAACTTTGCAAAGTAGTTTTGCTTCAGTGAGTGAGTTGAGAAACTGCATGACCTGACTACAAATTGGAGGGGCTTTTTGCTTATTAGTAATGCATATAGCAAGTTTTGTGTGTACTTTGAGTGAAAAGTTAGGTGTTTGAGCCAGTTTTGTTTCAGTCCAAAAAAGTGCAGAACAAAAGGTGTTATTTGGTTTTCACTAGAGAACATGAATTATTGGTTTTCTTGCTGTTACTATACTACAGATGTATTAAATGTGCTTGGAGAAAAAGTGGATCGTTTTTCCTGGTAACTGATCAGCCTGCTCATCGCTCTCCGAGTTTAAAACACAAGGTTTATATTTTAGATTGTTCCAAGAAAGATGTGAAAAAAATTGATCACCCTGCATTTATGGCAGTTTGGGCATTTATAGAACATTTGTAGCTAGCAAGCAGTACAGGAGTTGAACAAAAAATGAAGTTATTCCAGTACAGTATTGAACAGCATCCCTTCATGCCATAGTATATGCAGGAGTGCACATTATGCAACAGTGAAGTTGCAGCTATATCTAAACTATAGGCTAGGTTTGCATTTTCATTTCAAGACAAGCATTTTCCAAAGGCAAATGATTTGCTTAGGAAGTAATATGAGCTGGCTCAACTAGAAATGCTGCAATGTTTCTTTTCTGAATTACTTTATAGTTCTGTATCAGCTGGAATATATGCAAAACCAAATCAGTTTTTCTTCCAATGAAAGATGCTTCTTCTTGAAAGCACCTTTCTTTGGGACTAAAATAATTTATTCAATTTTTCCTCAGGAAAAAAAATGCTTTTAAACATACTAGAAGCACTAGGCATTTATTTCAATACTGTGAAGAGAAACAAAACACCCATCTGAGGAAGCTAGAGCACTGAACATTGGGTTGTCTGAGTGGAGATCATACTCAATCACTGAGCTTTCAAGGTGCAAAAGTGAATACAACAAAACATTCAGGGGCTTAAATGCAAGTTACCATTCAACATGTACACAATTTTACTGTGGACAGAATTTAACTTGTATGAACCTCTCTGGAAAGTACAAAGCACATTGTCAGTGGATTCTATCCCACCACTAAAAGACTTGCATATTTTCAAGAAAACCTTGCATAGGTGGTTAGTTAGCAAGGATAGGTTACTCTGGTTGGTTTTGAGCTTGGGCAAGAAGGCAAAGTAGGGAACACGATAGAAGTGTATAAAATTATGCAGCGCATAATTATGGGAACAATTGTATGGATAAGATGGTGCAAGGGATAAGACACAAAACCATTACTGAATCTGAAATAGTATGCTTTTTCCAGTGAAGGCTTGGTCCGCCTAATCTCGATCACTTCCAGCTGACTTACCTGGATGAGCAGGATCATATAGAATATGATAGTTCTTTAAGCAACCGTGCAAATTTTAAATGTGTGTGTGTGTGTGTGTAACTGGCCATCAGCCAGTGAAGGAAATATAAATGAGGAGTCAGAAATCTATGAAGAATAAGCTTGGTCAGAACCTATTTTGTACGAGTTCAGATTTCAGCATGCTTTTTGAAAGAGACATCATGAAAGTCAGATTCATGAATCCAGCCTAGGCAAATATTTACGATTGCCCCACATTACGACAAAACTGCATTACGTCGATCTTTTTGCGATTGCAATTGCGATCACAAAACAATGGTCTAAATGGGGGAATTTCGCTTTGTGATGATCGGTCCCCTGCTTCAGGAACCGATTCTTCGCAAAACGATGATTTTCAGACAGCTGATCGGTGGTTTCAAAATGGCCACCGGGTAAATAAAATGGCTCCCCACTGTTTTCTGGGACAGATTCCTCGCTGCACAGGCACCGAAAATGGCCGCCCTATGGAGGATCTTCGCTGGAGGGTGAATTTCCAGCCCATTGGAACACATTGAAGGGGTTTCAATGCGTTTCAATGGGCTTTTTATTTTCGCATTACATTTTTGTTCTACAGCGATTTCGCTGGAATGAATTAACGTCATAATGCGAGGCACCACTGTATGATACTGGCAAGATATGCTTCTACAGAAATAGACCCAACAGAAATAGACCCAACAGGACACCAGTCTAGACTGGGCAAACATACTTGCAGTTATACCTGCAATTTGGACATTCACCAAATCGTGAATCTGATCTTTTGTTGTAAAAACCAAGTTCATCCAAAACAAGCTGAACCCTTGTTGGAGGATCAGCAGTACAATTGTTCAAGAACATGTCTCTGTTGGACAAATTAAGTTTTAGTTTACTGACATTTGATTTATTATTTCAGATACGGATACTAAACCTCTCACGTGGGGACAGAAAGGAGAGCCATCTTATCAACACAGAGATTATATCATAGTTAATTTTTTGGATAATCTTGCCCCCCTATTTTTTTATGTAAATGATAAATGCAGGGGAATTTGGAAAGCCAGTGAGTGCACAAAAGAATGGTATCATGGTACCTAAAGATGCTGAGAGATCCAACAGAATCAAAAATGTTCCTTTCTCCAATGTCCAGTAAATATAGAAAACAAAACCCATAGATAATTCACATAGTATTTAAAGACATTTGGAGATCCAACTAAATAGGAACAGGTCAGAAACACTAAGGCTCTTCCCTAATTGCCTTAGGGCAGTGGTCCCCAACCTTGGGCCTCCAGATGTTCTCGGACTACAACTCCCAGAAGGCTTCACCACCACCTCTGCTGTCCAGGATTTCTGGGAGCTGAAGTCCAAGAGCATCTGGAGGCTCAAGGTTGGAGACCAGGGCCTTAGGGGAAAAGCCCTCCTTTCCCAAAAAGCTAAACCTTAAAACATATTTCATGTTGCAAACAACCTTGTATGAGACTCAGTCCATATATAGCCTGGTAAATTAGGCTGCATCTTACACGCACTTATTATGTCCCATAAAGTCAACTACAACTTATGGTGACTCCATGAATGAACAGCTTCCAAAATATCCTACCATTAACAGCTCTGCTCAGCTCCTATAAATTCAAGCCTGTCGCTTCCCATATGGATTCAATCTATCTCATATTTGGTGATCTTTTCCTGCTGTCTTCAACTTTCTAGCACTACTGTCTTTTCCAGTGAATCTTGTCTTCTCATGATATGCCCAAAGTATTAGTCTCTGTTTCATCATTTTTCCCTGTAGGGAGAGTTCAGGTTTGATTTGATCCAGGATCCACTTGTTTTTCTTTCTGGCAGTCCATGGTATCTGCAAAGTTCTCCGTCTGCACATTTCAAGTGAACCAATCTTTTTCCTTGGTGGCTTTCTTTATTGTCTAGCTTTAGCATGCATATGTAATAACTGGAAATGCAATAGTGTTCATGATCTTTAACGATTACAATTTCATCATTTTCCACTTTGAACAGGTGAGATAAAATACACCATTGTCCAATCCCACTGCCTATGGAAAGCTATTCTGTTTCTCCATACTAACAGTAGCTTCTTGCCCACAATATAGATTATGCTTCAGGATAATCTGGTGTTGAAGGCATGCCCATTTATTATAAAACCACAGCTTTTCATGTTGTGCATAAAGATTTAGTTGAAGTCTATATAAAGCACAGACTGATCTTCTGAAATTCTTTGTTGTGCTCCAGGAGCCAATATATATTTGCAATATGTTCTCTAGTGACTCTTTTCAAAATCCAGCCTGAATAGCAAACATTTCTCGCTCCATATATGGTAGAAATCTTTGTTAAAAAAACAGAGTACCATTTGCTTGCATGAGAAATTAACACAAGTATTCTATAGTTCCTGCACTCACTAGCATCCCCTTTTTTGCAATGTATACTGAACTTTTCAAGTTTGTGACTGTTTTGTTTTGCATATTTGTTGGCATGTGTTGTTAGGATTTTGACAGATTCAGTCTCAGTGGCTTGAAATAGTTCTTCTAATATGCCACCTACTTCTAGTGATAAACACTTTAATGTGGTGAGGAGGTCTGACTCTGTCATGGAAGCTGACAATGCTGTCAAGGGCTAGACTCTATTATGTATATAGTGCATGTCTGAGATTGCTTCATGGTCATTATGAGTTTCAACTTCTACTGAGGTTACCCAAGGGGGGATGGTAAAAACTGAGACATCAGCCTAATCCTCTTCAGGATTAACAGTCACACTAAAAGAAAATGATGATGGGCTTAACAGTCACACCAGAAGATATGGTGATGGGCAGAGAAACACCTGAAGGGCAGCTACTTGGCAGCAGCATTAATGGAAGATAACACTGGTGGAGGATCCTTCACAATGGCAGTGACACCCAAGACAACTTTTGCACAAGCTGTGCAGACAAAGGCAATGGTAAACCACTTCTGATTATTTCTTACCTTGAAAACCCTATGAGACAATCCAAATGTGCATTTACTTGGAGGCCAGTCCAACTGAATTCAGTAGGACTTACAAAAATCAAAGGATGCAATAAACTATTACTGAACATATACAATCCATATATAAAAAGGGCTGGTTTATTGTCGCTCAAATACGTAAACTGAACAATCCCAACATCTCAAAATTAAACTTTAGAAATACAAGTTTAACATTCAAAACAGGAATATAGTTTACAAGAAACACCCTGTAGGGAAATTCTTAGTCTAATCCAGAGATGGATAGAGATCACTTTATGGTAAATAAAAGTGGTTTTGTACAACCGTACTATGGGGAAAGTTTTTTTTTCCTGTGCATTTCCAATTTACAGCAAAAAACATTACCAGACTACTGGACAAAGCAACTTGATTGTGCCTACTAGGGAGGAGGGAGAAAAGGGGGAATCAAAGCAGGCCTGTGAACAAGATCAAATGGTGTTTATCAATTTGGTCACTGCAAGGTTCATTCTCCTTTCATGCTGGACCTGACATTTGTGGAGTGAGTCCTGATTTATACAGGAAAGGCCATGCATGGGTAGAGAATCAGGCCCTATATTTTCAGGTTCATGAAGGGGCATAATCTTAATGTGGTCTTCAGCAGTCAATAATTCAATCATCAGAGTGCCTGACCTTGGACCTCCCATTAAGGACATCTGTAGTATTTTTGTAGTTCTTAACTTCAGACCACAACTATCATCATTCCAAGGCTTTCACATGTAACACTGCTGAGAAAAATGTTTCCAAATGCTACCAACATCTACACCTTGTACACAGATATTGCATTGTTCTAGGATCTAAAAATTACTGGAAATAGCTGCATGGTTAATATTTGTCAGTCATGCAACAAAGAGAAAAGGCATCAATAATGCAAATGTTCTCTCTGCACAGAGACTGCTTTATGTTCACAAATGTTGCTTCTTTGCTCCTTGGATGGTTTTGCAATAGTTCACGGTAATGTATATGATTAAACCTGACAGATGGCTCATGCAATCTTCTTGACTTAACAAATATTGTTCAGGAGTACTTTGTAATTATTTTGTTGTTCGTCTTGTAGGCTCTGAAGCTGTGGGAGGTGGAGGGGGACCTCTGCGATCTAAGTCATCTACATAAGACACAATAAGTTTGCGTCTTTCCTCTGGCACACAGTCAAGTACCAGATAACGTTTGTCATTCTGTAATATTTTCTCTATATCCTTCAGGTGTTGGTCAGATTCCTGGATCAATTTTTTGGATCTGCAATTAAACATAAAGATTATTGTTACTATTAGGTGACTGACATAAACAAACTGGAATATTCATGAAGGTATCAGTAGACAGATTTCTCAGCAGCAGTCCTGCCCATCGAAATAACTCCCTCTTAATGCTGCAATCAGGTAGGCCAAATGCTCAAAAGGACATAGAGACTGGGCTATCCTCTCACCTATAAGGTTGCCCTTTCAGGTCAGGAGCGAGGCAAAATGGCAGGAATGTGTAAGTGTAAAAAAAATCTTGCATTGCCACTGCCTCTGGTGTACTTGGCCTGCAAGTAAACATACGATTTCAGTCTCAAGGACTGCCAGTATTTTTTTAAATCAAATTTAAATTACAAAATTTACAAAATTTTGTAAATTACAAAAATGTAAACAAAAATGAGCACATTTTAAATTGAACACTGCATAAGAGCAATCAATGCCTTTAGGAGATGGAGTCTAACACTCCCCTGGCAATCCAGCCCAGCAAAAGCAGCACATTCATTTCAGACAGATCTTTTTTTCAATGGCAAGAATCATCAGACCTCAATACAACCACAAGGGAGAAGAGGAATAGCACAGGATGGGAAGCTCATCTCATTGTCTTGTGAAGAGACCACAACAAGTCTAAGGTAAACTTGCTATTTTCTCACTGTTCAACTATTATTATTTTAAACAATAACTATCTTGGCAGAAAATATGTGTCTGTATATGTGCACCCCGCCTTTCTGCCAATGAATGGGCACACAAAGTGAATAAATGGGTCACCTAAAGTTGAGTTGCAAAAAAGCAGGACACCTTTTTCACAGGTGGACAGCACTACTTAGTTGTTTGGTAATGCTGTGAAACAAAACAATCAAAGGCTTAGTTGCAAAGCACTGTGAATGGCAAGGGGGTGAACAGGCCTGTTCCATGAAGTCCTGCATAAAAGCTAGACTTCTTGGGTGCAGCACCACAGTGTATCAGAGTTTCTACAGTAATACAGTAGCAGTGAATGACGAAATTAGAGACTGGCTGTGGCTGATAAAGCCATCTCAAGACAGAGCACCTTTGGATCCAGCCCAGTCTCTACACACTTTGAAGAAAAAGCTCAGTTTTGTGTTCGTTTTGTTTTTAACATTTTTGGGAGAAGGCTACATAATACACAGAATATACAGGAAGAATGTTTAATTTGATCCAAAATATTTGGTCCGCATCAATATGATGTATCAAACAATATACAATTGATTTGGGATTTTGAGAAATTTCCTTCCCAAACATTATCACCAGAGAAAAAGAATATATCCATACTATGATTGAACACATTTTCAATTCAGAGTAACAGATTGTAGCAATCCAAAATATTTCTCATTTTCTAATTATCTAAACTAAGAAAAGTGATAATCTATAGCAGAAAAATTAAGAAACAGCAGAAAGTGGAGGTTTAGAAACTCATCTCTGTGCTGTTTCTGAATACATACCTATATGTTATAAATTTGGTCTCTTTCAAAAGTGTTCTGAAATCTGCTTTGGCTGTAATATATTTGTCTCTGATGTACTCTTCAAACTCTCTTTGCTTTTTCTGGATGGAAAGAAAAAAGCACATTTTAAAATGTAATCATTAGAACAGTGATTTTTAAATATTTCATATATGTTATATATTATTATTCATGAGTGATCAAGTAGTATTATGCCTGTCTTTAAATACATGAGAACAAGGTCTTACCCTATCACTGGAGGAGAATTTAATGCATCTTGGATCTTCTTTAATTATTTTCTTTACTTCTTTCCATGTTGATGTTAATGTAATCTTTCAAAACAGAGAGGCAAAAAATATTACAGGCTGGTATATGAAGTTCAAACATGGAACAAATGCTTGAGACGCTTATAATGATATCTAACAGCTGAAATTCTGTTGGTGTAAACTTCAGCCACGGAAAGTTGACAACATCAGCAGCAATGGAGACTTTTGGAAATTAAACATTTTCACCACCTCTCCTGAAGCACCCAAGGTTCCCATGTAATCTCTTTTATTATTAGGAAGCTGTAGAAGCCATGAGATGAGAGGGAAGTCTTCAATTACTGACAATTGTTGCTGGCGCTCAAGCCATCCTGGGGTGGTTATTTTTGGTAATTTAACATTCCTCCTTCCTGTACGACAGCTTCCAAAGAATGAAGGAACCTCAGGACACAAGAGTCTCAGACCAAAAGGCAGACACGTTTTATTTCCAAAAATACAGAGCTGCTAATGAAATAATTAGGCTTGCATGGCATTCATTATGCCAGCAGGATTTCAGTCATTGGGTCAGGTTCACGGGATGGATCCTGATCTAATACATAGTTAGGCATGGGTCTAATATTTTTTGACTTACGATTAGAGACAAGCATCTGAGAATAAGCAAGAGAACGCTAAAATGATGAAAAATAATTTCAGCCAGAGAGTGGATCTCAATGCAAGGATACACACCTACACACGTCTATATTGCATCATTCTCTTGTTAAGACAGAAAACACAACCCATGTACATGTCACAACATCCATCTAACTAGGTGATGAGAACAAAGAAGGATACACAAAACACTACCTGAGCATGCAAACCTGTATTATTGCATTTGGTTTCAAATCGAAATTGAATGTTGCTTGATTGTACTAGCTTTTTTGGTAGAACATCTATCAGTGTACACTGCTGAATTTACAGAGTAAACTACCTGAAATGACTGCTACAGAATCAAACCTGTTTCTTCCCCACACTCAAGAATATTTTTATGCTTTTTAAGTTCTCTCCAACCCAAATTTGTCAGAAAAGGGGGAAAATGTTAACAAAGGATCCCATCTCCCACCTCCCATGGCTTAGATCTAGATGTAGGAGCAAAGCTTTAATGGACCTGGATCCAGACGGATTCATTAGAACTCTACTCTAAAACACTGTAAGTCGAAAATAAAAGATCAGTGATGAAAAATTTTAAGTGCTTAAATGTAAATTGAGAAACAGCAAAACTACCAAACGAAAGACTAGCCAGAACTGCTGAACATCACCCTTACTGATGAAGTTTCATCAAGAAGTTGCCGAAAATGCTCTTTCTTTTTCTTTGTAAGGGCCTCTATATGTTCGTTAAACAGTTTTTCCTTCTCTTCTCTTTCCAGCAGAGAGCCAGATTCCCATCGATGATCTTTTCGAAGTGTCCTTCTGGTATCTGACCATGACACATCTGAAGATCGCACCTAATACAGGGAAATAATTGGAGTATTAGGCTATACAGATTACAGTTGCTGATTTTGTTTTACAACAGATACTTTGGGGCTTTTGTTTAATTTTCACCAAGAACCATTACTTATAAGTAGATGCAGAAATACAATGTACATCACTCTCTAAGGTTTTTTTCCCCTCCTGGGGGAGCATGGAAGAGGGAGAAAAGTCTAAATGCGACTGTGTTGAAGATAGCACAGAGAATTAAGAATTATACAGGAACATTACTTCTGAAAAATCATTAACCCTTTTATTTATTTATTAGATTTATATCCCACACCACCTGGCAGCCAGGCCACTCTGGGCGGCTAACAAGACAAAGAACACAATATTAAAACACAATAAGAATAAAACAATACAAACAGAGGTTAAATTAAAACAAATGTCTATAAAGATAGTAGAAAGGATGATGAAAGGATGGCAAAAAGGATGATAAAAGGGAAGCAAAGATATCAGCAACTTAATGCTCAGGGAGCCTGATGGAAGAGCTCGTTTAAACCCATCCAACGAGGGTGCCAGGCGTATCTCCATGGGCAGATTGTTCCACAGGCGAGGGGTGATCACCGAGAAGGCCAGGCTTCTTGTTCTTGCCCTCCAGGCCTCCTTCGGGGTCACAGCCCTCAACTGCCCTGCCTGTGAAGAAGAGTTATTACGGATATATCTGGCTGGGAGCAGGCATTCTGCTAGGTACCGAGGTCCTAAACCGTTTAGGGCTTTGAATGTTATCATCATAACCTTGAAGTCGATGCAGAAACGAACTGGTAGCCAATAAAAGGTGGCCAGAATGGGGGAGATGTGCTGAAATGTCTTCAGCCCAGTTATTAATCTGGCCACCAAAATCTGAACCAGTTGTGGTCTCCGCATCAACCCCAAGGGTAGCCCCACATAGAGAGCACTGCAGTAGTCTATTCTTAAGATTATGAGCGCATGAATCAAAGTCGCGAGTGCCCCCGCATCTAGATAGGGATGAAGCCGGGCAATCCTCCGAAGATGGAAATGGGCTGTCCGGACCAAAGATGTCACCTGAATTTCCATGGTGACACCCGGGTCCTGATAGATACCCAAGCTGCGAACCTCATTCTTCATTGGAAGAGTCACTCCCCCAATGGAAAGGGAGTTTCCCAACCCACTGATGCCAGGGCCACCCACGAGCAAGATTTCCATCTTGTCCAGATTCAACTTCAGTCTACAGTGGTGCCTTGCTTTATGACTGCCCCGCATTACAACAAATCCACTTTACGACGATTTTTGCGATTGCAAAACAATGGTCTAAATGGAGGAATTTCGCTTTGCGATGATCAGTTGGTTCCCTGCTTTGGGAACCGATTCTTCGCAAAACGATGATTCTTCAACAGCTGATCGGTGGTTTCAAAATGGCTGCCGGGTAAATAAAATACTCCCTGCTGGAGGATCTTTGCTGGACGGTGAGTTTTAAGCTCATTAGAATGCACTGAAAAGTTTTCAATGCGTTTGAATGGGCTTTTTATTTTCGCTTTACGATGTTTTCGCTTAATGGCAATTTTCCTGGAACGGATTATCATCGTTAAGCAAGGCACCACTGTATTTGCCCTCATCCACCCCAGAATGGTCCCCAAGCAGTGTTCAAGGGACAGTACAGCATCCACTGCAGTTGGAGAAAAGGAGAGGTAGAGCTGGGTATCATCAGTGTACTGATGACACCGAGCCCCACAACTCTGGATGACCTCACCCAGTGGCCTTATATAGATATTAAATAGCATTGGCGAGATGATCAACTCCTGAGGAACCCCACAATTGAAGATCCACGGGGTGGAAGTCATCTCACCAAGCTGCACTCTCTGGGGATAGTCCCCCAAGAAGGAACAGAGCCATGCCAAAGTGAGGCCACCAATCCCCAGCTCAGAGAGCTGCCCTAGGAGGATAATGTGGTCAACGGTATCAAAGGCTGCTAAGATACTGAGGAGGACCAACAAGGACATATTGCCCCTGTCAGCCTCCCTCAGGATGTCATCCTGCAGGGCGACCAATGCTGTTTCTGTACCATGCTGCGGCCTGAAGCCCGACTGGGACGGATCCAGGGCCTCGATGATCACCTCCAGGAGTGCCTGGAGCTGATCAGCCACCACCCTCTCGACCACTTTACTTAAGAAAGAAACATTGGCGATGGGCCTATAATTACCGATTTTGTCCACTGCCAAATTACGTTTCTTTCGAATGGGTTTAATGAGTGTCCCCTTGAGGGTGGGGGAACCATGGCCTCCTGGAAAGACCCATTAATTATTGTAGTGGCCCATTCTGTTGTTACCGGCTTGGTGCTTTGATGAGCCAAGCCGGGCAAGTGTCTAAGGAGGAGGTGGTGGTGCGACAGCGTGCAAGCATCCTGTCCACCTTGTTGGATATCACAGGTTGAAAGCAGGTTAATCTCTCTGGACAAGATGATACACTGGACATCTCAACTCGATCTTGTTGTTGTTTAGTTAAGCCGTGTTCGCTTTGTGACCCCATGGACCAGAGCACGCCAGGCCCTCCTGTCTTCCACTGCCTCCGGGAGTTTGGTCAAATTCATGTTGGCAGCTTTGAAACCCCAGCGTGGTATCTTGGAATCCAACAGGATCCAGTAACCTGCAGGGGCAGACCATCTCAATGGGTCCAAGCTCCCCACAGGAGGGAAGTGCTACTGTGAGGCTGCATTTAATTAGGTGGTGATCCGACTATGACCAGAGGGCTGATATCAAGTCAGCAACCATCTGCTTGGCAGCAAAGACCAGATCCAAAATGTGGCCGCCCACATGGGTAGGACCGCTAACTTCTTGTGTCAAGTACAAGGAAGCCATGGCTTCCAGGAACTCTTGAGATGGACTGGAAACCTCACCCTCCGCGTGAATGTTGAAGTCCCCCAGAACGAATAGTCTGGGGGACCTCAACAGCGCTGCGGAGATGTAATCCGCCAGTTCCAGGAGGGACTGTGCTGGATTGTGGGGAGCGTGATATGCCAGCACAATCCCAAAACCACCCCTGGCCCCAAATGACACGTGGACGGCCTCTAGACCTGGGCTTGCCACTGCGGAGCGCCTAGCAGCCTCAAATATGTCCTTAGAAACAATGGCCACTCCCCCTTCCCGGCCTGGTCTGCCCTTATATGGCATACCCAGGTGGGCACTTTATTACTATATCCTCAATTTAAGAGTAGAGATTGACTATCTGTCTGGATACATTAATAACAGTGATCTTTTATACTATTAGAAAAATATTTTATACTATTACAAAAATGTTAAAATGTGTCAATACATCCCCAATTATAAAGTGAAAATAAACTGACATAATGCTTCGCTGTCAGGCTTATTGGAATATGAGGCACACTGTAAATCCTAGTGTAGACATAGCTATTCTCCAACCTTTCATAACAGAAATGCACAAGGCCATCTAATAAGTTTATGATGGAGACAAACCATTTAATAGAGAAAAAATCAGGACAAGGCTGTATGGTCCTCAAACCAATTAAAATGCAGGAATAGGCGACACCTTTATTAGACTATTAAGAATATAAAACAACAAAAAATAAGGTGAGCTTTCTATGATAATTAATCTTCCTCAGGTTATGCACCAAGTTCTAGTAGGTAGCTCCAAAAGTATGTTTATATTAAAAGTCCCAAAAGTTTCATGGCCACTGTTGGGGGCCAGGTGCAGCTTCTTAGCTGGAGATAGCTGTAGTCTGCACGATGCTTGTGGGAGAAGGGTGTGGCTTGAGGGTCTCTTGGTTCTAGCTCTCACTCTCAAGCTGTTAGCTATTTTTCCTCCCATGTAATAAAATATTAAGATTCATTTCATTCTTTTGTTACATTTATTATTATTTGTTTCAAAATCAGAAAAGAAAAAGGCAAACAAAATTATAAGGTCACCAGTTTTGCCCCAATATGAATTGGTTTCATCTGGATTTATTTTTCAAGGCAGGTGGACATGACTACGGAATTTCATTGGATATTTGTTAGGAAATGGAGTTACTTCTTTTTCATTTGCCAGATCTCATTAATTCTTACCATATCAGACAGCAGAGCTTTGAAGTTCTGAATGGCCTCATCTCGCTTGTGCTGTTCTCGTTCTCTATCAATCTCTTTCGTCTGTTCAGAACGAGCTTTCTGAACCTCCCTCTCGCGCTCACGCAAGCTTGCCTCAATCCGAGCTTGTCTTTCCATCTCCTTTTCTTTTTCAGAATCTACATTCTGGAAGAGCAGCCAAAGTAGATGTTACGTTAAGCTAACAAGAACTTTTTATAAAAAGGTATTTGATAATATCTGAAAAGATATTACTGATTTGCTTAAAATATTATCCACCTAGTGCAACTATTGGAAATATTACTGCCATTATCAACATAATGTTTTGACTGAAGGAAAATATAAACAAAATTGCTGCATACATAGTCAACAGATCTGATGGGTCACATAAATTAATTTTCCACAAACTAAATGCAGGTGCTTCTGCAGATCAAAAGAGGTTGAAGATGCAAAAAAGTGAAACACCTGCCCTTTATATTGTGAGCAGAGAAAATGGAAGGGATTCAAAGAACAGCATGACTAGTTCTACGAATTCAAATGGATTGTGGACCTGAGCTTCCTGGATGGCAGCTCTCTGATGCCATTCAGTGAGTCATATCTGAAGCTTTCAAAAGCAACTGAATATGACATCAGGTTGAGGAAGGATAAAAAGAGAAGAGGGTGATCCTTGAGATGGATGAATAGGGTTTCCCTTAAAATGAAAATAATAAGGGAGAAACAGTGAGAGTTTCTTGGCTTATAAAGTCCTCAGGATTAGTAGCCTTGGTCATGGTCTGGATTTATACTGCTTATGGACTTTGATTACACATATAAATCAAAATAAGTGAGTACAGTACACGTAACCTATGCAGCACAAAAGTAAACCAGAAAACTATTCTTTAAATAAGACACCAGCCCTAGTGTGTCCAAAAGCCATTCCTGTTATACTGGCAGGTGTTTTTTCTTGTTGAAGATGAAGCCCCAAATGATATGGGTACAGGCTATTCAATGATTTACTATATATTGAGATCAACAAATTAGGGTGGTTAAAAGAAGCTACGCTGGCAATCTTAAAGAGCACAGCCGACTAAATAATGCACTCTCCCAATTCCTTATAGATCTACCATGCCTCTTCATGCTGATGCACGAGAGAATACCTATAGGCACTGTGTCTTTAGATATTCTCTGACAGAGCTAGCTGAACACAGTTTAGTGAGTTTGGTAGCTGGTTGTGGAGCCAGAGATTGAAAATTCAACTCTTCACTGTGCCTCCTGGGAGACTAGCCAGCTTGTATAGCCCTGGACAAGATGCACAGTTAGGGAATGGTAAACCACCTCTGGTTACTCTATGCTAAGAAAATGCTGGAAAAGACCACCGTAATCCATAATTGACTTGATACCCATAATAATTACTACTCTGAAAGCATTCTTCGATTAATAGCTCATGTTCCTAGTACTGATGAGACAAAGAAAGGGGTAATAGAAGCAGTTTAATGGGTTTTTTTAAAGATAAGGACAGGAATGAAAGGACAGAAATGGAGAAGAATATATAACTGAGGAATGTTCAGAGTCAGTACAGTTTCTATTATTAGGATGCAGCTCAGAGATTTTATTAGGACACAATCAACTCTACTGACGTACTCTGTGACTGTTATGTGACACTAGAGACAATTACCCAATCAGGCACAGGTTACTTTGAGTGTACTAGGCAGATTTTCAGAATTTTGTTGTTAAGTCGTGTCCGACTCTTCGTGACCCCAAGGACCAGAGC